GAGTGCACTGGGCACTGGCTTAAGATGGACAGTGCTGCCACCAAAGCTGACCCACCCCAGTTGGACACGCCCGCGGTGATCAAATGGTCAGTGGTAATCGTACTGGCTATATTTCGTCCATTTTGAATGCAATCGATGACTCGTTTCTGGACTTTTCCATGCCGATCTCATTTCCACCATCACCGATTCCTATGGTGGAAATTTTCCCTGACTCATGAGCTGAAAATAGAAATCACATTAAACAGGGATCATCAAATAACATTGGGTTATGGTGGTTGTGGTAATGCCACTTCTAAAAAATGTTCTGGTAAGTTGGCGACCAAGTGGTTTTTTTTAGAAAATTATGTGTTTGTAACGGTCTTTCGTTTGTGTAAAAGTGCAACGGTCTATATAACCGATCAGAGTAAATGCTGTTTTTTAACCAATCAGGACCAAAGCCAAAAACAATCGTGAAATGGCTTACGCCCGTTTTCCCGCGCTTGGAAACCGGTTGTATTTTTCCCGCTCTTGACACCGGTTTCATGGTTTGGCTTCGAGTTCTGATTGCTTCATTGTGTTATTGGCGTTATTTGGTTGATAAGATAACCACTTTTTATAAATTTCATAACTTGTCCAAATATTACGCCATTTTTATTAGTATATATAAGTAGGAAAGGTAAAGACGTTTCACCATTTTAACACGTTGTCCCGGATGGTGCGAGACACTGTGAGCGTACTGGGTTCGATCCCTGGAGCTCCGGATCCGGAGTCCAGAACACCATCCAGAAAGTCACTGCACTTCCCATAAAAAGTACAAGTTACCTTGAATGAAGACTTCATCAACTGGACTGACTTTGCAAACATCCGATAAATCCCTAGCTTTCATGGTCATGTAACGTCCCTCTTCTGTCCTCCCAACCGCTTCTATGGCAACCAAAGTGTCAAACTTGGGTCTCATCTGATGCGCTGCATCGTGGAATAGGAGTTGGTTAGCAGCTGTTCTAACACTACCTGAGCCATGAGTCCGTTCCGGTGTGAATTCCACAATAGGCACTTCCTTCCCCAAGAACTTCCTGACAAGTTCCTGCACTAATTTCACGTGGTAGTAACTCACAATAAACGTCACCTCCTTTCCAAGAGCTTTCAAGGCTTTTACCAACGCGATCGCCCCCAGAGGACCATCAGTTTCATCCGGGAACTCCTCGTGGGTATTACAAGGGAAACCGAAATGTACAGCCACAGATGACGCGTGAGACAGCACGAGCGCGGCCTTCAGGAGCTCGTCAGCAATGTGAAGTTTCGCGACTCCCCTCTGCCCGATGTCTTCTTGAATCTCGGTCTCTAGACAACGGATTTTGTTCATGGCGTTTTCAGAAAGCAAAAGAAGCAATAAAAGGGTTTTCTTGTATTGTCACAATTCGTGGCTTGGCATCTGTATTAACGGACGGATGTTTGGCAAGGAATTCTTCCACGGTTGTGTTCGCACACGACTAGCTGCTCCATGTCGTCAGTAAAGGCCAGTGGTAAAACCTGCAGAGGAAGAAATAAAGGGAAGTGTCACGCTAGAAGTCCATAAGTAGTAATGAAATGACAGTTATACAACAGCGCGTATGTGCAAGGGAGTTAAGAGCCAATCATAATCCAGGGGTGACGTCGTTTCTCCTTCCGGAAGATGACATCATCGGGTGGGGGAGGCATATGTGTAATAGCGTTCGTGACATCATAATCCCCCGGCGGGTGATGTAATTCCTTCATTCAGTAGATGGAATTATCAGGAAGGGAAATAAAAAAATTGTTACGATTATGATATAAGAATAAGGATGACGTCAAGCAATGGTACCCCCCCCCCCCCCCCCCGCGATTTTTATTTAACCTGTTTTTTTGGAACGAACTACACAAGTTCATCCAAATACGTTAATTAAAACGGCTTTTTTCGCTTTATCAGGCCGACGCTTAACTCTGGTTTCCATAGCATGACGCGAATAGGAGTATCGCTACTCCCCTGGATGGGATGCTAGTCCACCCATTTTTACTGACTCCTGGGTGGGAGAGAGGTGATGGGAGAGTTAAGTATCTTGCCCAAGAACACAACACAATGATCCCGATCCGGAACCTCGATACCGAAACCATTAGGCGCCTCCCACAATCTGACAGTGAAGGGTGAAATATGCAAATATTTTGACGTCAACCGTTTTTGGTTGCCTTAACACAGAGTCAACAGAAAAACTGAATATCGCTATACGCTTATAGTCTATGAAAAAAAGACACTGTTCGGGAAAAAAAGTGACGCAATGGGTCATGATATAACATGTAAAGATATCTTAGTCGCTGACGTCAGTCATTCAAAATGCTGATTATTAGAAATCTGGACAAGGACTGTGTGCAAGCATATTAAATTAAAAATGAAAATTAGCATAAACTGTTCAAATAACACAAGGGCTTTCCCTTTCGAAAACTGTCCAAGCCTGATTTTAATATTTACTTTCTTTCAGATCCTGCGTGGATATTTTCTTGTTTATTCACTAACCTCAGTTTGTATCGAAGGAAAATATCGCTACTTATCACTTAGCTTTGTGAAAATATGATCTTAAAATCTCGTGAGAGTTAAAGCGTCGACGAGATACAAGGAAGGAACGTTGGCCGAATTCCAAAACGATTTTCGATTCTCGTGGTACGAAACAGGCGACAGAAGGTACGCGTTTGAATTCATTATTGTAGCCACTTTGGTTCTTCAACAACTGTCCTTCGAGAAATACTACACAAATACATGGATTGAACTAGAGTCAGACTGAATCAAACCACAAAACAACTTCCTACATCCAAGCGCGATGGCTAACCATCCGTCGTCGAGCGAAACCACGGAAGTACTTCCACGAGAACCTAAAACAGAAGGCCAGCAGTCTTGTAGCGATTTCAAACACGTTATTTGCATTTCCTTTCGGACGATTCAATCCCGGTAATTGCAAAGGCACAAATTGACACAGAAACAAATACGTTGAACGTAATTCTCGAGAACTGGAATCTCATTTCAGTCGGACAGTCAAACACGCTACAACAACAACAACAACACAATTGTGATTGCAATTTGCAGGATAAGAGCACGTCAAATGCTTTAACCGCGGCGAAGACCAGTCAGACAGTAGTCCAAAGGCTGCAGATTGTAACTTTGAGCAACAACAGACAACCACAAAAGAAGTAGTCAACCAACTGCAGCCTTTTAATAAAGCGCAACACTGCAAACAGGCTGACTCGGGTGAAATGGCCATTATGAGCGTCGATCGATTGATGCCTTTGATCAAGAAACAAGGATATCTTAACGGATCACAATGCGAGGGCATCATGGAACAACTTGAGCTTTTACAGGACAATGGGCAGTTTGAAAAGCATGAGCATTTAGTAACATCATATCTTCAACGTTGTGCGAAGGGAAATAATACCGACATGGAATTAGCCCTGAAAATGGAGCGCGGAGTGGCGTTTTCTTATCACAAAGAATTCAAAAACAGCAAGCGCATGAATACATCGGTCATTAAATCAGATAAAGGACAACATTGTGAGCTTAGAAATCCGAACATTTTAATCGCAAGAGCGTATTTTTTACTTGTGGCCGACTATGCATGTCGAAGTAGGAAGGTCGTTAAACTCTCCACGCTTTTTGAATATCTTAGGAGAAGTGAGTTTTTTTCTTCAAAACCACGAGTCGCCAGAGGACTGGGCCGAGCTGTACTACGACTATGGCTCCGTTTGGTTGGCTTACATGAGTATGATTCCGGATGACGAGAGGAATGCGCAAGCGCGAAATACTGCCCGAGGAAAAGCAAGATGCTACTATGAGCAAGCGATTTCTTTCTGCAAGAAAGATCCACGATTGAGAGTTCAGATCAAAAGCAAACGTACGTTCATCTCAGTCTTGCTGAAATGCTACTCGACTGCAGTTCAACTGCCGCGCGAACTCGTCAAAAATCCATTCCACCCAAAGATATTGAAGAGGCTAAAGAACATCTAGATTTTGTGCGGGACAAACTTGGCGTTCATGTACCGACTGGTACACGCGTGCAGCTCTTAAAAACCCGCTCAGATCAGTTTTATCGACAGGGAATATACGAAACTGGCCAAAGAAACAGCCGAGGATGCGCTACAGATAGCTTCCTCTAACGGTTTTAACACCGAATTAGACACTCTACAAGAAAGAATCTACTTTCTCGACAAACTGTGCGAAGGAAAACCCAGACTGATTGTTATTGAGGATATCTCACATTCCGGCAGTGACGCATGTTTCACCGAATCTGAGTAAGGATAAAAACCCAAAACTCTGGACAGGATTTGTTTAAATAAACTTGCTCCAAAGCAAATGGCCCTTTTCCTCTTTTCCTTTCCTTTTCTCTTTTGGTCTCGTTTCCATTCAATTATCTCGAGCAACCTTTTCCTTTTACACTTGGCAGCAGCTAGAACCATTAGCCAGACACAGTGGAAGGTGGAAGAGTTTCGTCCGTAGCTAGAACCATTAGCCAGAGACAGCCGGTGGAAGGTGGAAGAGTTTCGTCTGTAGCTAGAACCATTAGCCAGAGACAGCCGGTGGAAGGTGGAAGAGTTTCGTCCGTAGCCAATATGCTCCGATATGGAGTGAATAGGCCTAAGTATAAGTAAGTAACCTTTTCCCTATTTATACCTACATTTTCTTTCTTTTCTCCCCGTTTCTCTACATTCTATAGACTTAATTTTTGTAGTTATACCAGGCTATTATATGTAACGTTTTGTTAAAATGAATGAACAAGGATTTACATCTCCGGAAGATGACATCATCGGGTGGAGGGGCATATGTGTAAGAGCGTTCATGACATCATACTCCACCGGCAGGTGATGTAATTCCTTCTATCAGTAGATGGATGGCATTATCAGGACGATAAATAAAAAAAGGTTAGGATAATGTTATGTGATGATGAATATATTAATGAAATCATACATGTGAAGGCTGCGGAAATGAAATTAAATGAATAAATGAAGGTCGCAGTTATGAATGCTATTTAAGCAATTGAAAATTTAAACCCATGACCTTCGCGTTACCAGTGCGATGCTCTACCAACTGAGCTAGGAAGCCACACATTGGGAGCAGGTCAATTGTGAGTTTATTCACCCGTGATATGAATGAAATGCGACGATGAATATATGATTGAAATTGTCTTTTAGATCGTTGGTGATGATTGAATTTTTTTGTCTGAACTGCTTCATCTTTTTCGATTTCAATCGCAATTCACAAAGTATACGTACTTTTACAAAACATTTGCAACACTTGTTTGCTTACTCCCATTAATATAAATGCATCCCTCTTATATTGAGTTGACTTTCGGCTTCCCTCAGTTTTCAACTTGGCACTCTTGGGAGTGAAAGGGTTAAAAAAAATGTTCATGGTTCACATTTGCATGTAGGTTGAGCCACAAAACGTAAATAAATGTAAAGGTTTGAACATCTTCATCGAAAGCGGAAGTCCCGTTTTTAGAAGCCAGTCAGTTTGACGTATTTACTGATACACCACTGCTATATTTTATACTGCTACAATCACTTCCGTTTTCCATCTGCGAAACTCCTAGAGTCAATGAAAGAATAGGAGTAGAAATAAATAGTACTAAACTAGAGCGAGTAATAGTTTGACGTATATATATTTATACTGCTACAATCACTTCTGTTTTCCATCTGCAAAACTCCTTTCGAAGCTAGAGTCATTGAAGGGTGGGAATAGAAATAAAATAATACTAAGATATAGTTCCTTTTATTGTATATCCAAATCCGTGTTCATTATTTTAAGAAATAACATGCATGGCACTGCAAAAAGGAACTACGTCACCGTTTGTGCAACTTGAAAAAATTGGCCAGTTCTTTCAAGTTCGCTGTTCATAATCCGTCTTAATCTTCTCCATTCTTCTCCATCCTCAACCATCCTTGTTCCTGTTTCGTTTTATTATTACCTCTTTGGTGTTTTTCTACCTTAGTAAACTATGATTTTGAGGGCTTTCTTCAATTTGATGGTCATTTTGCACTTCGCAAAAATGACTTAAAAATATCATTCATGACATAGCTCCTTTTATTATCGCTTTATGCAAGGATAAATTTGTCATATACTTTCTATGTATCGCTTTCACCATGTATGCTGAATTTATCTTTGCGGAACTGTTTTTCTTTTCTTTCCGTTTTGAACGTTGCGATGCTTTTACGAAAAATAGATGCCAAACGAAACAATGTCATCAATGCATTCACGAAAATGTTTCGTACTGAAAGATATATCTGACACCGTTTGCGTCGCGGCGGAAAATCTCAAATTTTATCCTTACTCAGATTCGCTGCAACATGTATCACTGCTGGAATTTGAGATATCCTCAATAACAATCCGGCTGCGTTTGTGTTCGCACAGTTTGTCAAGAAAGTCGATTCTTTCTTGTAGATTGTCTAATTCGGTGTTAAAACTGTTGGAAGGAAGCTATCTGTAGTGCATCTTCGGCTGTTCTTTGGCCAGTTGGTATATTCCCTGTCGATAAAATTGATCCGAGCGGGTTTTTAAGAGCTGCACGCGTGTACCAGTCGGTACATGAACGCTAAGTTTCTCCCGCACAAAGTCTAGATGTTCTTTAGCCTCTTCAATGTCAGCGGGTGGAATGGATTTTTGACGAGTTCGCGCGGCAGTTGAACTGCAATCGAGTAGCATTGCAGCGAGTTTGAGATGAATGTACGTTTGCTTTTTATCCTGAACTCTCAATCGTGAATCTTTCTTGCAGAAAGAAATCGCTTGCTCATAGTAGTATCTCGCTTTTCCTCGGGCAGTGTTTCGCGCTTGCGCATTCCTCTCGTCATCCGGGATCATACTCATGTAAGCCAACCAAACGGAGCCATAGTTGTAGTACAACTCGGCCCAGTCCTCTGGTGACTCGTGGTTTTGAAGAAAAAAACTCACTTCTCCTCAGAAATTCAAAAAGTGGGGAGAGTTTTACAAACTTCCTACTTCTATAGTCGGCCACAAGCAAAAAATACGCTCTTGCAATTAAAATGTTCGGATTTCTAAGCTCACAATGTTGTTCTTTTTCTGATTTTATGACCGAAGTAACACAGCGCTTGCTATTTTTCAATTCTTTTTGATAAGAAAACGCCACTCCACGCTCTATTATCAGTGCTAATTCCATGTCGGTATTTCTTTCTTCGCACAACGTTGGAGATATGATGTAACAAAATGCTCATTCTTTTCAAACAGTCCATTGTCCTGTAAAATCTCAAGTTGTTCCATGATGCCCTCGCATTGTGATCCGTTAAGATATCCTTGTTTCTTGATCAAAGGCATCAATGGATCGACGCACATAATGACCCTGTCACCTGAGTCAGCGGCCTGTTTGCCGTCTTGAGCTTTATTAAAAGGCTGCAATTGGTTGACTTCGTCTTTTGCAGCTGTCTTTGTTGCTCAAGGTTACAATCCAAAGCGTTTGGACTACTGTCTAACAGAACTTCACCGTTGTTGAAACATTTGTGCTGTTTCTCCTGCAAATGGCAATCACAATTGTGCTGTTGTTGTAGCGTGTTTGACTGTCCGACTGAAACGAGGTTCCAGTTCTCGAGAATTACGTTCAAACGTATTTGTTTCTGTGTCAATTTTTGCCTTTGCGATTACCGGGATTGAATCGTCGAAAGGAAACGCAAATAATGCGTTTACATCGCTACAAGACTGCTGTCCTTCCGGTTTTAGGTTCTCGTGGAAGTATTTCAGCGGTGTCACTCGATGACGGAAGGTTGGTCATCGTACATCGAGATAAAAAAAGTTGTTTTGTGGTCCTGATTTGATTCGGCCTAACTCTAGTTCAATTCACAGATCTGTGTAATCTGTTCCGGTTTCTTGTTTAAAATTCCTTGCAATTTAAAGTCATATTTGCGTAATATTCCTCGAAGGACGTCAGATATTTTTTAACAGTTGTTGAAGAACCAAAGTGGCTGCAATAATGAATTCAAACGCGTCCTTGAATTTATGATCTCCTTCAGTCACCTCAGTGTTTTGTGTCAAGAGAATCGGAAAATTGTTTTGAATTCAAGCCAACGTTTTCGCTTATGTCGTCGACGTGGCTTAACTCTCACGAGGTTTTAATCATATTTTCACAAAGCTGAGTAATAGTAGCGATATTTTCCTTGGATACAAACTGAGGTCAGTGAAGCAAACGACGACATCCACGCAGTTACGAACAACCATGCAGGGCATCTGATGAAATATTCATCATTCCCAGAAAGAAAGCACTAAATATAAAATGCTTGCACTTTGGCTTTTCGAAAGGGAAAGTCCCTTTCAAAAGCGCGTCAATTGATGACCGATATATCAGTTAAAAATATTATCACTGCTGCAATCTCTCCCGTTCTTACATCATGTTCTCACATGAAAACTGTTGTCGAGTGAAAATATAACTAATGTAATACTTGTTCTATTTAATTGGGTAAACGTCATCGCGAAAATGTTAATTCTAATTGTTTTACCTTAGAACATGTTATGCTAATTTCACTTTTAATTTAATATGCTTGCACACATCATTCCTTGTTCAGATTTCTAATAAATCAGCATTTTGAATGACTTTACATTGTTGTATTATGACCCATCGATCTAAAAATATCGTGAGAGTTCAGCCATGTCGACGAAATAAGCAAAAACGTTGGCTTGAATTCTGGGAATACAAGAAAACTGGGGCGGATTACACAAATACATGACTGGAGTCAAAGAGCCTGAATCATATCAAGGACAAACACGGATTGAAGTACTTCCGGGAAAACATAAAACCGAACGACAGGAATCTTGCAGCGATGTACACGCATTATTTGAGTTTCCTTTGGACGATTCGATCATGGTAATTGCAAAGGCAAAACTGGACACAGAAACAAATACATTGAACGTAATTCTCGCGAACTGGAACCTCATTTCAGTCGGGCAGACAAAACAACTCAATTGTGATTGCCATTTGCAGGAGAAAACAGCACAAATGCTTCAACAACGCTGAAGTTCTGTTAGACAGTAGTCCAAAGGCTGCAGATTGTAACCTTGAGCAACAAAAGACAACCACAAAAGAAGTAGTCGCAGCTCATCTGAGTAAGGATAAAAATTGAGAATTAAAAACTATGATCACACATTTTAACAAGTGGATAGGATTTGTTTAAATAAACTTTCTCCCATGCAACTGTCCATTAACGGCTTCGAAAATGAAAGTTTTGTTTACTTTTTTACACTTTCAATGGTATGAGTATTAGTTTCTGCTGATTTAATGCCGTACCTCTATGAAAGGCATCTAGCAAGTCCTTTCCATATTCCCGGCCTTTTCTCTTTTGCCGCCAGTTCCAATAAATTCTCTTTAGCATTTTTCCTTACGTGTCTCTTTTCCCCTCGTTTCTCTACATTTCTTTCTTCCCAACTATTTCTCTACATTTTCACAATTTTCTTTTCTCCAATAGGAGAGCCCACTACTCCGGCGCACGCTGTCCGGTCAGCCGTTTATCTTTTAAATGATGGTTCAAATCAATGTTGACGCGCTTTGCAACAAAAGGGACTTCCCTTTCGAAAAGCCAAATTTAAATTTAAAATATGGAAATCATGAATATTTCATCAGATCCCCTGCACGGATATCTTTTACTGCGTGGATGTCGTCGTTTACTTTACTGACCTCAGTTTGTATCGAAGGAAAATATCGCTACTTATCACTTAGCTTTGTGTACTGCGAGGAAAACAAGATCTTAAAATCTCGTGAGTGTCAAGGCGTCGACGAAATAAGCCAAGAAACGGTTGGCTTGAATTCAAGTCAATTTTCGATTCTCCTGGCACGAACTGAAAAGGTGACTGAAGGAGATTGAAAATTCAAGGTACGCGTTGAATTCATTACTGTAGCCACTTTGGTCCTTCGAGAAATACTACGCAAATATGACCTGTTGCAGGAAGAACCAGAAATCGGGTTTATGGATTGAACTAGAGTCAGACTGAATCAAATCAGGACAACAAAACAACTTCCTTCATCTAAGCGCAATGGCTAACCATCGCGTCATTGAGCGAAACCACGGAACGTACTTCGACGAGAATCTAGATCCGAAGACCAGGA